ATTAATGCACCGACGGGCGAAGCAACAATCACGGGATTCCCGCATTGTTGACGATATCCAACAAAAGAGCCGATCATTTATCATTACGCGGACATAATCGGGCTCTCCTCTCCACACGGCACTCGTCTACCGCAATGCCAAACGCGAGGTCAAAGTCGACGAAGTACGAACAACGCGTGGCTCGCACGTAGGCCCGTCGGACGCTTTAACCTATGAGATCGTTTACCGCGGCATCTCGACGCCGATTGGTGGATTTTGTCAGCGACACCCGCCCACGCACAACAAACTTGTCGCTCCCGAGTCTCTAAACGCAACGCGGACACAAAACGACCTTTTTCTCCCTCCCCTGCCATGGCCTCCTCCGCCGCAGTCGATACTCCGTTGCGACTTACTCCCACGCAGGGCTCCCACTCTGTTTTGTAGCGGTTGCTTGTACCGCTGCTTGCGCGCTCTCTCTCCATCTCTCTCTCACTCTCTCTCTCTCTCTCTCTCTGCCTCATTCGCCAGTGCCCCTCCGCCACTGTTTTTCACCAAAGGTCCCACTCTCTTTCTCTCTTTCTCTCTTTCCACGGCGCTGACGTCGGCCCTCGAAAATACGCGACTTCCGCCTTTGTAACGACTCTGCTGTTGCTGCTACGCTCCTCGGCTCCCCCGACGTCTCTCCTCTAATCGCCCCCGCGATTCTCCCTCCTAGTGAAAACCACGGCATTGCTATTTTTCAACTTCGCCTTAGCCTGGCTTTTCATTCGCCGAGTGCGACTGGCTGGCTCCCTTGCTTACTTATTATATTTCCATTACCATTACGATTACTTAATAGTTGGATGTGTTTCTCATTTTGCGGACAGTGCCATTAGCGACATTGCCACGGTCTTGGCGGTTTCCTTTCTTTTATTTATTTTTTCTTTTTTTCTTCTTCTTAGCTTTTCTTCATTGCCCACTTCATTGTTTACGTGATATTGATCATTGGACTTTCGAGGCTGAGTGGCAGTGTTGCTGGATCGCCGTACCGTATAAGTAACTACATAAATAGTATGAGATTTTTCTGAATTGAATTCGGATTTCCCATGTTGAAGAAAAGCTGAGTAAAAGTAACGTATATCGACATTTTAAACGAATGACTAAACTAATTGTGATAATTATCGTTTATTAATCCGTATTTTTCTTTATCGGGTGAAGCATTTAGCAATAATACCATTCGAATGCTTGAAAATAAAAAAATCAATTGACAAAGATTATTAGTTAATTATAAGCGCATTGATCTAGTTTATATTATTGCACGTTTAATATTGTTATTTTATCGACTGTGTAAATTGTTTTCAATTTCAAATCTTGTTAATTCCGTTAAACGTAGATGGTTCACATAGAAATATTTTCTTATGTACAATAATTCCAAACATTTCAACACGCGTATACGTGTGTTTGTGAACTGAAATTGATTTATTTAAATTATTGCTATTACAATATTAATTATAATAATTTTATTTATTTTAAGATATTTTTAATAAAATTGTAAAATCGCAAGAAAAAATTAAATGAACCGATAATAATTGTTACTCTTATAGATGACGCATTAGCTCTCAAATACGAAGTCTATAGATAAATTATTTCTTTCATATCAAATAATAGTAAAATAAAAATCATTTATGTAAGAATATGGGTAATATGGCACTCAAAAGAAGGATTTTCTTTAATTTATCATTCGGACATAATGTACGCTATTAATTAGTGTAATAAGACATAAATTCAAGGCATTCAATAGAAACAGGATTAGGAGGAGATAATTAGGCTCGGGATAGGCTTCGATCATTATTCCATGAGTCAATTAATATTTGGATTTGTGAAGGATGTAGGTGCATTATGAATAAATAAATTGCCAAACATCATTTTCATAATAATCTGTTTATATATTTTTCGCGAGGAGATATGTACAGGCGCAAATAATAATTTTATTATATTAATATTAATCATAATAATGCTCATTTTTTTCACGTATTTATATATGTATAGTTCTTGCATTATTCATCCTCATACTCAAATAAGGTACCTATGTATAATATTTATATTTGCATATATTTATATTCATTTATATTTATATATGTTCGTATTTATAGGAGCGATTAAACAAGAATTTTTCCCTAGTGTGATTCTATCTACAAAAGAGTGGGGAAAGAGAATGCAATTCGCTTATTCATTTCATTTATTTAATTTTGTTTCACTCGTTTCATCGCACGTCACTCGGTCCCATCATCTTACGTCCATTACTCCCGAAGTAATAGTTACTCTCTCTCTCTCTCTCTCTCTCTCTCTCTCTCTCTCTCTCTTTGTCCCTCATTCGTACTAACACATACCCGCGCACACATTCTCAATACTGGCTCAATAATTCGAATTAGCGAGTGCTAAATCTATAATTAGTCTAAGAAAAGGAGTTCGGGGTGTAGCAAGAACGTAATTACTTTATTCGTGAAATTCTTTCTGCTCAGCGCGCCGTGCAACACCTTTCCATTCATCTATATTCATTCGCAATGATTGTTTTTTTTTTTTGCTTTTTTGTCTTTTTTCTCATTTTAAACATCGATGATTGATGTGTGTTTCTGTGTGCGTTGAACAACTTATGCTTATCCAATTTGGTTTTACGCCATGCGAAACCTATAAACATTTTCTATTTAATCATACGTGTCTCATTTGCTATTTCCCACCTTTCTCCATATCACTCGAACAAATCTCACTTTTCATTACGTATCTTTTAAGAATTACACTTATGACTTTTACTCATGATGTTTGTATAATTTTGAATTTATTATTTATAACCGAGGCAATAATTTTCGTGATACTGCACATCATTTAATTACATAATTATTAGAATAGAAATTTGCAGAAAATCGCTTTACAATAAAAATTGCTGAAAGACCATTAAATATATTTTGTTGTAAAAGAAAACGCAGTAACCAATAATAAAAATTCCGAAAATAAAAACGATAATTATCTTTTTTTCTTTATAGTTTCTTACAATTGTGCAATTAACGTTTTGAAAACTATACACACGCAACCACAAATTTTTGCGAAAACATCATTATTTTAGCGTTTCATAATTCAATATACAATTCTTAAGCAAAAAGACGAATATTCCTATTACATGTATAATGATGTCGATTGTAATTTCGTTTTCTTCTTTTATTTTCCTCACCATACATGTGGCGTAATCGAGAAATAAACCATGCAGGGATTAAAAAATTTTACAGAGTATGAAAACGATACTTTTTGTTTATTACGTCTATTACGAGTATAAGATTGTTCGCGTGTTTTATAAAAATAGTAAACCGGTTCTTTTGCATGGAATTACCTCTAAATAAATTTGTTAGTCGTATTTTAACTTAATCGGTTGTATACGGGAAACTAAAATTTTACTTGCATTACATATAATTCCATAGATACTACTGGATTTTCTTTCTTATGTGTATATGTTAGTTTTATCAAAATTAGATATATAGCCTCAAAGAAAGAGAACAACGTAGTTAATTATACTTGCATTCGTTATTTTTGTTAAGGTTACAAATTCTAGTTTTAATTTATTACCACCTGTCATTTTTAGTAAGTAGTTACATCTAATCAATTAATAAGTCAACCCTGAACACTATGTTACGAAAAGATTTTGCTTTTCCATTCCTCCTAAGGAAATCACTCGACTGCTCCAAATACACAACAGATGCATCATTAAAGTCTAACCTTAGATCAAATGATCCAGTGATCTGTTTAGGGCGACTTTTAAAGCGTCCCCGGCCGTGCAATATTGTGAGCGAACGTCGAATTAATCGATGCGCTTGTGCGAATAGCCTCAGCCGAGAGAGAATTTTCTCGCGGAGAAGCGCTCAATTATAGAGGCGAGGAAAATTAAGCGAATGGCCAGTATTGGCTGACCTCTGTCGGAATATTTATAGTAGTAGTAGTTGTAGTAGTGGTAGTAGCGGTAGTAATAGTAGTAGTAGTAGTAGTAGTAGTAGTAGTAGTAGTAGTAGTAGTAGTAGTAGTAGTAGTAGTAGTAGTAGTAGTAGTAGTAGTAGTAGTAGTAGTAGTAGTAGTAGTAGTAGTAGTAGTAGTAGTAGTAGTAGTAGTAGTAGTAGTAGTAGTAGTAGTAGTAGTAGTAGTAGTAGTAGTAGTAGTAGTAGTAGTAGTAGTAGTAGTAGTAGTAGTAGTAGTAGTAGTAGTAGTAGTAGTAGTAGTAGTAGTAGTAGTAGTAGTAGTAGTAGTAGTAGTAGTAGTAGTAGTAGTAGTAGTAGTAGTAGTAGTAGTAGTAGTAGTAGTAGTAGTAGTAGTAGTAGTAGTAGTAGTAGTAGTAGTAGTAGTAGTAGTAGTAGTAGTAGTAGTAGTAGTAGTAGTAGTAGTAGTAGTAGTAGTAGTAGTAGTAGTAGTAGTAGTAGTAGTAGTAGTAGTAGTAGTAGTAGTAGTAGTAGTAGTAGTAGTAGTAGTAGTAGTAGTAGTAGTAGTAGTAGTAGTAGTAGTAGTAGTAGTAGTAGTAGTAGTAGTAGTAGTAGTAGTAGAAGTAGTAGTAGTAGTAATATCAGTCACCCAGTCGCTTTAAAGCCCCAAGCTTACCACTGGTCGGTATCAAGCACATGTAGCTCACTCTCTCTCTCTCTCTCTCTCTCTCTCACGCACACTCTCTCATCTCTCTCTCTCTCTCTCTCTCTCTCTCTCTCTCTCTCTCACTCTCACACGCTCCATCTGTCCGTCAAAGTCAAGGGGACCGCGAGGCGTCCCTTTTGTTTCGAGGGACGTCGTCGTGAATCCGGGATCGCGGCTATCGATTCCACTGACAAAGCCTTATTAAGCCTTTATTAACGAGAGTCTCCTAAAGCGATCTCCGCCATATAACGGGGCGAACCCAAATCTACACGCACGAGCGGTGAGAATAAAGCTGTCGTAAAGCAACGGTCCCGCGCGCATTCGCGCGGATAACGATGAAACAACAAAAAGTATCGCTTCCAGTGGAAGAAGGGGTCGAGCGGAATGCTCACGTACACACGCACGCAAGCTCACAGCAGCTCGACCAAGGATCGCCGGCGCTCTCGTATCAGGCGGGCGAGAACGGCCGGTGGATCTGGGGCGGTTTGGGGTTCGGAGGCGGGCTATCGACCCTGATCAGCCCGCCCTGGCCCTGGCCTTGGCTCTGGGTCAGCTGCTGCTGCTGCTGGACCGACGGCGGGCTGCCCCGCGAGGATGGAGTGTGGGGACTCGGGACCGCGACGCGCAGCGGCCCCGACACCGAGAGGTTAGTCGCCACGAGGGGCGGCGAGTGCGCCTCCAGGAGGTTGTCCGACAGCCGGCACATGCCACCGTCCGTGAGACGCGAGGTGTCCGATATTCGGGATATGCCCTCGGGCAGCTGGTGCTGGGGCTGCGGATGATGGAGCAGCGTCTCGTGCGAGTAGCGCTGCGGTGGCGGCAGTCCTATCGGGTCTGGCAATCTGAAATGCGGGATGCCCAAAGGATTGCTTTTTATTTCTCTGTTATTATCCGATTTTGGGTGGATGATAAGGCTTCGGGTGCTTTGGATTGGGAGGAGAATTACCGGGGCTAATGTCTACGGTGAATGGAACGCATGAAAAGGCTTTACCAAACCCCACCTTCCCCTTACTCTCTCTCCCACCCTAACCGAAATGGGAAACGATCAAAGCGATCTTTAACTCCGACTCTAAATTCAATACTTTACACTAGTGATTTGATTGTTATATATTTTTTTTTTTTTAATTTTTTTATGCTTAGAGTAAATGTTCGCGAATTGATTCGGTGATTGCCATTGTTCGGATGTTTAAAGCAGCGTTTCGACTTAATCTCGCATGTTCTCTTGTAATTTCAATTTATAAAGAGTACGTTACATTGTCCTTTCATTAAAAGCCTGATAAAGCCTTCGTTATAAGTCATTGGAAAGGCGCAGACTCTTATTGATCTAGAAAATATTGAAACACGGCTTGCTGCAGTGTTCAAGTTTAAGCTCGTCGATGGCTTTTATATAAATTACAAACTTTCGTAATATCTTAGTCAACGTTTAATTTATCTGGAATATTATTATTTGTTTCCCCGTATTGGCAATATGTCATACTAATTATTGTCCTTTTTAATGTTGCCTGTCGTATATTAACTATTAGAAACGAGACTACTTTACTTTATTTATCTTAATAATCATACAAAAAGAAAGAAATATATATATATATATAATATATATATATATATATAACTATAAAAAGAAAAAATTTATTATTTAAAGAATAATATAAATTTTATTTGCTTCTATTGTAGAATCGTAAGTGTTGTGAAGTGTGAAGAATATTTTTACATACTCGTAATGATTCCAAGCTACCAATCTCTCTATGTTAAATAAACTTGTTAAATGCAAAGGGAAAACACGCAACTTGTATGTTCCGTCGAATCCATCAAACCTCGTAAATTAATTTAAAATAAAATCGGTAATTAACAGCACGCATAATGAAATTTTCGAAAGCTTTTTAAACAAAGTATATCGAATCTCGAATTTATCTGTAATGTTGGAGCAAAAATTAGTAAAAAAATTGAAAAGAAGTGCTGGGCATTATTGGAAAAATTTAAGTATCATCGAGAGAGAGGAGCATGATTTATCAAGTGTGGCATTACGTGGTTACCTACGGATCGCAAAGTAAGTAGGATTTGAAGAAGTGAGAGGACAAACCTCGATCCCAGATCGCCTCGCGGTCCAACAGCCTGGAAGGGGCTGGTCTCCGTGAGCCTGAAGATGCCGCCGCCCGCGGCGATGTTCGGGTGGTTGTGCTGTGGACTATGTGGCGCGAAGCGGAAGCCAGCCGACGGGAACTTGAAGTTGGGCACTGAGCCGAAGCGGAAGGACGACTGGGTCGGGTCGAAGCGGAAGTTGAGCGAGGGCGTGGGTATGGGTCCGATGGAGCTCATGGAGACGGGCGAAGGCTGATGGTGGTGGGTCGATGGCGGGGATGAACTCGGCGAGGGCGGCGACGTGCCCCCGAGGGAGATGTCCGAGTCTTCGGAGTCGCTGCCGCCGGGACCGGGGCTGAGGTTGCGCCGGACACCGCCGTTACCGTTGCCCGATTGCTGCTGCTGCCTGTGGACATAAACGCAAATCATCGGTTAGCTCAAGCGCCATTATGCTATTATGGCTATACTTGGTCTCGCTGGGTGGTGGTGGTGATGGTACGACTCCATAGGTCTGTATATTATAAAATGGACGTGCGGGATTATATTGTCCATCGACCGCCGATTCTTAATGCCGATATGAAATGCGCGAGGTCCGAAGATGAATCGCGAGTGAGCGTGGAAAGCGCAGAGCCCTTTCATGGAGGGAAGGGACGAGGGTTGGCTGAATCGAAGCACGGGAACAACGAGTATTAATTCACGTCGGGCGGCTTTCGATGCCGGGGGCAAAGCCAACATCTCGCACTGGTCTTAGGCAAAAATTCGGCGAAGCTAAGATAAATTGCGCTTGATCGGCCGATGTCTAGGATGATGAGAAATATCCTACTTTAATCCAATGACTGCGTGTTTCTTGCCGAGTCGTGAAAAAAATTCGCGTTCTCGCGAGGATTTTGCTAGTATCGGCGCGCGCGATGTAAACGTTAATTCGCCTCGTAAGGCGAGGACGCGGCCGTTGATTGATGCTCGACTCCTCGAGCACTCGGCGGGGGGAGG